GAGAAACGTTGATCTGCTGCCTCCTGCACACTCCCAACCAGGGATCAAGCCTGAAACCTGGAATCTTGCCTGACAGGGAATTGAACCAAAGACCTCTTGATGCATGGGTTGATGTTCAACCACTAAGGCATACAGCTGGGAGTGAGCTATGCTTCTTGATAGGAAAGTGGGATGAAAAAAAGGACAAAGGAGGGAAAGGTGGGTATAACTATAGAGGTTAGAGTAAAATAATTATGTTAACTAATAGGCCTGTTTACCAGGTGTCTGTGCAGGGAAGTCTCTTCCTGGGTATTTGCATTCTATTCCTTAACCTGTAACACCTATATCAGTGATCTTCAAAATAGAGTGTACATACACCTGAGGGTGTGAAAAGCCTCTTCAAGATCCTCAGTGAGGAGTAGTGTCAATGAGATGAATGTTCATACCCTCAAACCCCACATGACCTCGTTCTTAAAATGGGTCCTGGGTATTTGCATTCTATTCCTTAACCTGTAACGCCTATATCAGTGGTCTTCACAACAGAGTGTACATTCACCTGAGGGTGTGAAAAGACTCTTCAAGATCCTCAGTGAGGAGTAGTGTCAATGAGATGAATGTTCATACCCTCAAACCCCACATGACCTCATTCTTAAAATGGGTTGAAAAGGCTTATTTCCCATTATATCTCTCACAGTTGTCTTTATTTTACTTTAAGAACAAGGGATTGCCCGACCGGCGTGGCTCAGTGATTGAGCATCAACATATGAACCAGGAGTTCACGGTTCAATTCCCAGTCAGGGCACAGCCGGAGTTATGGCTGGATCTCCAGTGTGGGCAATGCAGGAGAGAGCCAACCAATGATTCTCTCTCATCATTGATGTTTCTGTCCCTTTCTCCCTCTCCCTTTCTCTCTGAAATCAATAAAAATATATTTAAAAAAACAAAACAAGAAATAGCCTTTCCCTCCTCTCCCATACTTTTTTTCTCTTTCTCTTTCTGTCCTGTCCCTTCCCTTCCTGAACAATCCAGTCCTAAACTGTTCAGGTAGGTACAGCAAAATCAACATCTGTGTTAGCAGTTAGAGCACACAGGGTGTAGAAAGGAAACAGGTAACCCACAGCAAAGAATCAAAGCCTAAGCAATGAAGGGATACCAACACATTTCCTTTGCGTTTCACATTAAATACATCAGGTGTTGCGTGGAAGAAGTACAAAGGAACTATTAGAGAAATTGAATTGGGCATTTTAATTATGCAAGGCACATGCCTGGGTTGGGGGCTTGATCCCTGGGGAAGGGCAGGGGGGCATGCAAGAGGCAGTCAATGAATGATTCTGTCTCACCATCTTTCTATCTGTCTCTCACTTCATCTCTCAAGTCAAGTTTTTAAAAATCTTTTTAAAAAAGAAATTTAAAGGATCATCATTGATAATTATAATAGTATATTGATAATTATCTGTAGTCATTTCAAGTATATAATCAAATCAAAAAGCAATACTTATTCAAGCAACTTCAAAAATTGTAAAAATTTAAGATTTTAGGTGTATTCCTTCTAAAGATATATTTAACATATTTGTTTAAATTTCTATTACATTCTTCTTACATAATTATATAATATAGAGAAAATGTCATTTTCCCCCATGAAGCCCATATAGCCTAATCCTCTTGCAGTTTACTACAGTGTGCCCAACAAAAACATCATGTCCTCTGCGTGCCATGACATTAAAAAGGTTGAGAAGTGCTGCCTAGTCCATGGAGAGGTAATATATACTCCATCTCTACAGTTGCTTCCATGCTCCTTAAGACCCTGCACAATTATATACCACATGCCTCTACCAGCTCAGGATCCATTACCCCACATACAAAGTGTATTACCTCCACCTAAAGGAAGCATGACTTTGGGAACATCTTCCTCCCATTCTTTGTCACACCT